GCTGCTGCTGCAGCAGCTAGCCCTCCCCCTCCCCGCCCCCCGCCCCCCCCGCTGCTGCTGCTGCTGCTGCTGCGGTGTACGTACACCATGCCGCTGCTCGAAGTGCACCCCGAAAAGGTGCTCGAAATCCCTTTTGCTTTATTCACAAGTTCAATTGTTCAAATTACTTTAAAGAATGTTTCTTCGCACCCTTTTGTGGCCTACAAAATCAAAACCACAGCCCCCAAGAGCTACCTCGTCAGGCCCTCCACAGGTCAGCAGCAGCAGCAGCAGCAGCAGCAGCAGCAGCGGCGGCGAAGGGCGTGCGCCAGCTGCAGCAGCAGCAGCAGCAGCTGCTGCTGCTGGGGAGGCTCCACGCACTTTCCAGCAGCTGCTGCATGCGCTGCCGCGTCTGTCTGCCCACAATTAATCATTGAATTAAAATAAATAATTAAATTAATTAATTAATTAATTAATTAATTAATTAAATTAATCAATTATTTAATTAGTTCTTAATTGCAGCTGCACGAACAAGCCCAGTACTGTGCATTCCCACTGCAGCAGCAGCAGCAGCAGCAGCAGCATTGAAACCGCGTCTTTTTCGCCCGTTCTCACGCGCGCCGCCCCCGCTGCTGCTGCTGCTGCTGCTGCTGCTGCTGCTGCAGGAGCTGTCCCTCAGGGGGAAAGTCGTTCGGTGCAGATAGTGCTGCAGGCGCCCACAGAAGAGCCTCCGAAGTCTTCTTCAGATCGCTTTTTAATTCAAGCAACTGCTGCTGCTTCTGGAGAAGCTTTGCCGCGGAACTACTGGCTGGAGCTGCCGAAGCAGCAGCTGGAAGAGACGCGGCTCATTGTGAGCTTCAAGCGCGCAGCAGCAGCAGCAGCAGCAGCAGCAGCAGACGCAGACGCAGCAGCAGCAGCGGCGGGGGCTGCGGGGGACGCGGCGGCGCGCGCGGAGGCGCCCGGGGGCGCCGCCGCGCCCAGCAGCAGCAGCAGCAGCAGCAGCAGCGCAGCAGCAGCAGCAGACCTGCGGCAGCAGTACGACCAGCTGGTGGAGTACACTTTGGCAATGGAAAGACACAAAGAAGACTTGACGAAAGAAAATGAATTGCTGCGGCAGCAGCTAGAAAAGAAGAGCAGCAGCAGCAGCAGCAGCTACAAAGACATTTGGTATGTGCCCATATACCTTTTTGTTGCAGTGATGCTGTGGTACCTCTTGGAGCGGATCTTTCGAGGATAAAGACCATTTAAGTCCTTTTCTCTCTTATTTTATTCTTTTATTTCTTATTTTGTTCTTTATTTTCTCTTTTATTTCCATTTTGTTCCTTTTTTTCCCTCCAAACTCCCAATTTCCAATCCCCAGAACCACCTGTCCAGACACCGCGCCGCAGCTCGGGTGTATAGGCACCTCCGCAGACACTGCGTTTTCTTTCTTTCCGTTTCTCTTTTCTTTTATTTTCTTTCTTTTACTTCTTCATTTTCTTTCTTTTCTTTCTTTTCTTTCCTTTATTCTTCCCTTTATTTCTTATTTTCTTTTCTTTAGCGAAAAGAAGGACTGCACAGCTCCACTGTAGATACATCGGAGCTCATTTTAAACATTTTCTGCATTCAAAAAGCCCAAATGATGTTCTTCTAAACTTTGCCTTTTGCTGCTGCCCATTAACCAATTATTATTCTCCAACTTTGCTTTTCTTTGCTGCCAAAAGGCCTTTTATTAGACATTTCAAATCCCAAATATTATACAAGTCCAGAGTTATCCCCCTAGTCCCTTTTGCTTCTTAAAATTACCTGCTGCTGCTGCAGCAGCAGCTGCTGCTGCTGCTGCTTGCACCTTGAGGCGACATAACAAGGGAACCCCACAGGGGCCCCCTAAGTAGCACAAAAAGGGGGCCTCCAGAAATCCGTAGGGGGCCCCCAGGGGCCCCCAATGCTGCACAGAGAGGGGCCCCTTAGGGGCCCCCAGAATACACAAAGAGGAGCCCCTCAGGGGCCCCCTAGAAACGCTTGAGGGGCCCCTCAGGGGCCCGTCAAGCGTTTCGGACCCCAGGGGGCCCCCCTTGGGGGCCCCCTGGGGTCCCCCCGAAAGACTTCTGGGGGGCCCCCGGGGGCCCCCTTTGTGTGGGAAGAATTAAAAGATTTGTTTCTAACTTTGGACTTGTTGTTTCAATTGGTTTTGAATCTTGGATTGTCTTTTTAATTTATTTTATTTGATTTAGTTTTGGTTTTGGAGAGGGAGAGAGTGGAAAGGATTAGGAGTGGTTTAATAATTAGTTATTTGATTTAATAAATAGTTGGATTAATTGTTAAGTTAGTTTAATAATTGATTTAATAGTTATTAAATTGGCTTAATTAAATGTTGAAGTTAATTAAATTGCTTTTTATTATTTTCTCGAGAGGCTCGAAGTGCTGGGGGAAGATTGCTGCTGCTGCAGCTGAAGCTGCTGCTGCTGCTGCTGCAGCTGAAGCTGCTGCTGCTGCTGCAGCAGCAGCAGCAACGCACCAACTCGCGTCTCAGCTAGAGTCACTGGAAGGCAAAAGGGAGGAACAGAAACAGCTGCTGCTGCTTCTGTTGCTGCTTCCGTTGCTGCTGCTTCTGCTGCTGCTGCTGTTTCTGTTGCTGCTGCTTCTGCTACTGCTGCTGCTGCTGCAAAAGGAGACAAAAGAAATAAGGGAAACTTGAAACGCCAGCAGCAGCAGCAGCAAAGCAAGACACACAAGAAGCAATTCTTCAAAAAAAATAAAAACGCAAAAAAACGAAAACAAAAATAAAAATAAAAATAAAAATAAAAGAAATAAAAATAAAGAAGCAAAAATAAAGGGAACAAAAATAAAAGAAATAAAAATAAAAGAAATAAAAAGCTAGAATATAAGCAACAGCTTCAATTAGAATTAATTTTAATTGTTTAACCAAAAAAGATATCTTAAGAGTGGAAGTGATTTAAATTAAAAAAACTGAAAAAATAAAATAAAGAAATGACGAAAAGAAATTTTAACTAATTAATCAATTAATTAGGTGATTAATTAATTAATCAACTTATTTATTTATTTACCTATTTATTTGTTTATTTATTTGTTTATCTGTATTTTTGTCTGTCTTTTTTTTATTTCTTCTGTGCATTTTCTTTCCATTTGTTTGTTTCTATTCCTTCATTCTTACATTTATATTTATTTGTTTTTATTTATTTATTTCCATTTGTTTGTTCATTATTTATTTCTGTTTATTTATTTATTACTTTTTTAATGTCTTTTTATCCACCAAGCCCTTTTTAGCTTTTATTTCCTGTAATTAACATTTTATTTTTTCCCTTCATTTCTTTTACTACTCTCCTTATTTTACCTGTTGCATTTAACTTGTCTTCTTCAATTAAGTAATTAATTAATTAACTAATTGAAGGAGACAAATTATTTATTTTCATTGATTATTTATTTGCCAAATAGAAATCAATATTTATTTGTCTCACTTATTTATTATTTTTGTAATTATTTAATTCCTCCTCTCTTATAATTCTGACTCCATTCTTATAAATAAATAAATAAAATAGTTTGCTAAATAGAATAGATAAATAAAGAAAAAAAGAATAATAAAGAAGTGAAAAAAATGAAGAAAAGAGCCAAACAAAAAAGAAAAAGAAAAATAAAAAAGAAAAAGAGATAAAAGACTTGGCAAAATCCGAAAAAAAATAATTTAATTACTTTTTTTGTTTTCTTTTGAAGAAAGTTAATTCAACTTTTCTTTTTACTTTAAAAGTTTTTCTCCAAGTGGCTGCAGCAGGAGAAAAACTCCAAAAAGTGAATTCCGAAGCAACCCTAACACTGGCAGCAGCAGCAGCAGCTGCTGCTGCTGCTGTTGTTGCAGCAGTAGCTGCAGCAGTTTCCGCAGCAGTAGCTGCAGCAGTAGCTGTTGCAGAGGCAGCAGCCGCAGCAGCAGCTGCAGTTGCGGTGGCAACTGCAGCAGCTGCAGCAGCAACCGCAGTTGCCGTGGCAGCAGCAGCAGCAGCTGCTGCTGCAGCAGCAACAGCAGCAGCTGCCACTGCTGGTAGGGCCTATAGCTAATAAGCCTGCAGCAAAGCCTAAATTGAATCCCAGCTGAAACCGGATCCCCCTTCCTTCTTATCTCAAGAACGAAGTGGTGAGCTGCTGCAGCTGCTGCTGCTGCAGCTGCTGCTGCTGCAGCTGCTGCAGCAGCGTCCCTACCGCTGCAGTTGCTAACGCAGCAGCAGCAGGAGAGCCGCTGCCGCTGCAGCAGCAGCAGCACAGGCTGTCGACGAAAGAGCTGCCGCCCTGCGCTCTTCCCTGTGCAGCCAGCAGCCGCCGCCGCACACCCCAGCAGCAGCAGCAGCAGCAACCGCTGCTGCTGCTGCTGCTGCTGCTGCTGCTTAAGTTCTGACCTGGCCTATAACAACTGGCTGGGACCGCGCAGCGCGGGCCATTTCAGTTTCGGGGACCTCGGGGGGCCCCGCGAGGGGGGCCCCCACGGCGACGAGGGGGGCCCCCACGGCAACAGCAGCAGCAGCAGCAGCAGCAGCAGCAGCAGCGTTGGCCCCCGGCCTTGCTGCTTCGTACTGCTGCACCAACTCCTCCACCCGCTTCGGAGGCGGCTTTAAACAAGCTTGCAAAATAAACCACAGCAGCGTCACCAGCAGCCAAGTCGAAGACAAAAAGAAGTACGCAGGCTCCTCCGTCCTGTCAACCTGCAGCAGCAGCAGCAGCAGCAGCAGCAGCAGCAGCAGCAGCAGCAGCGGGGATGTGGGGCTCCGACAGCAGCGGCCCCAGCAGCAGCAGCAGCAGCACGGGCAGCAGCAACACAGATACACAACCACAAGCAGCAGCAGCAGCAGCAGCACAGCCACAGACCCAGCAGCAGCAGCTGCAGCAGCAAAACAGCTACACGCCCACAACCAGCAGCAGCAATCCTTAGCCACACACCCAGCAGCAGCAGCAGCAGCAGCAGCAGCAGCAAAACCGCTACAAAACCACAACCAGCAGCAGCAGCGCAGCCATACGACCAGCAGCAGCAGCAGCAGCAGCAAAACCGCTACAAAACCACAACCAGCAGCAGCAGCGCAGCCATACGACCAGCAGCAGCAGCAGCAGCAGCAGCAGCAGCAGCAGCAGCAGCAGACTTGGAAAACAAAGACAGTGGCCATGAGGAGGGCCAAGTAGACGAGGCAGCCGAGGGCAGAAGCAATGGAGTAAAAACCCCCCAAGGCTTTTGCTGTTTCCCGCGGGAGGCCAAACAGCCGCACCCGCTCCCGGTGGTACATCAGCACCAGACACGCGCACTGCAGCAGCAGCAGCAGCAGCAGCAGCAGGTGAGCAGCAGCTTGGTTCTGCTGCAGTGAAATGCTAGGGCAAGCTGCGCTTTTTGCTGCTGCAGCAAGTGGAGAGAGTCAAGTAAAGACTAGTAAACGAGATTAACAACAGCCTAGAAAATAAAACTAATAAAAAACAAGTAATAACATATAACAGTGAATAAAAAGTAATAATAAATAGACAATAATAAATACACGGCAGAAACCTCCATGAGAGGAGCAGCAGCGAGCTGTACAGACAGCTGGAGAAGCAGCAGCTTTTCGGAAAATTCAAAAAGTGTCAAAAGAAGTCCAATAAACCAACAAATGAACAAGTAAATAAATAAATATAGAAAATAAATAATAAAAATAAATAAATAATAAATAAATAAAATAATAATAAATAAACAAATATAATTAAAGGATTTAAAAAAGACAAAAAGACCTCTTCAACGCACCATAAAGGAAGGCATGCTCGACTGGAGGGCCCCCAGCATGGGCAAGAGGTGCGCGGGCCTGCAGAAAGAAGAAACAAACAAATAAATGAATAAATGGACAAATAGATGGATAAATGAATGACAAATGAATAAATAAATAATAACAAATGATAAATAAAAGAATAAATAAACATTCAAATGGCGAATTGCGCAACCGGCGATGCATTTGGGCTTTTTGAACGAGGTGGACATACACCCCAGGGCGATGAGATCTCGTTTAAATGTTTTCATAAATTGGAAATAAAAGATAAACATAAACACAAATATAAATATAAATAAAATGCAATTTAACTGTTTTTAAATGTAATTTCAAATACAAAGCGCCAACTCAGGGACTCGTCTGCTTCCAAACACGCAGACACTCAGGTGTATGTATGTACACCTCGACACTTTCGCGTTCGTAACACTGTAAATAAAATATGTGATAATAGACATGTATAATCAAAAATATATATATATCAATAAATATAATATATATAATAGAGAACTATAGTCAAACAAATATATATATAAACGTATATATATCCATAAATATGTATAATGTATATATATATATATAATAGACAAGAATAACCAAACAACTATACACATAGATTCATAAATATATATAACATATATATAGTAGACTAGTATAATCAAACAAATATATTGAAATATATTAATATCCATAAATATGTATAATATATAAATAATAGACAAGTATAATCAGACAAATATACAAACATATATATCCATAAATATATATTATATAAATATACACATTTGAATAAATATATTTCTATTATTTGCATTAATCCATAGAGTCAGTTTATATCTATAAAGATATATATATTATATATTATAAGTATATATACATATATTATATATATAAGTATATATATATACATTATATATATATATTATATTTATATATATATATATGTATTTAAATGAGTCTACATATATAAAGTGTATATAAAGTGTATTTTAATTATATTTCACTTACATAAAAAACAATGCTTTGAAAATATATCTAAATTACAAATTCAAATTTAACTAAATCATATTACCACAAACAATCAAATCATACTTTTAAATAATTAAACTAAATTGAATTAAATTAAAATTAAACTAAATATTTAAACTGCACTTCCAAAACGACCAAATTAAACTAAATTCAAACTCTCAAATCAAAACAATTAAATTAATTCAAACACTTTTAAACTTACATTTAAATCTAAATTCAAATTCAAAAGTTATTTAAAATTAAATTTAAATTTAATTTTAAATTTAAATTTAAAATTAAATTTAAATCTTAGATTCAAACTTAAAGCACAACAAAAATTCGAAAATGCGGAAAACTGCACAAAATGGAGAAACACTTTTTTGAGAAAGTGAAATAAAAATAAGAGAAAATGTAAAAGAAACAAAGAAACGGAAAGCAGCAGCAGCAGCAACAACAGAAGCAGCAGCAGCAGCAACAGCAGCACTACCAACAGTAAAAACAGTAGCAAGCAGTAACAACGCCAACCGCAGCAGCAACCGCAGAAGCAGCAGCAGCAGCAGCAGCGGCAGCAGCAGCACTATCAACAGCAACAACAACAGCAGCAGCAGCAGCAGCAGCAGCAGCAGACCGGCCCTGGACAATGGGGTAGTGGAGGAAAAGAGCAGCACAAACGAGGGCCAAGCAGCTCCAAAGAAGACAAGGAAAAAGACGGAGAAAATCCCAAGGAGAAACTTCCATTCCGAGAAAAGAAAAAAAAGAAATTGTTGCTGTTGCTGTTGCTGTTGCAGCAGGCCAGCCCCCAGAACCGCGCTCCATCGTCCCCCTGCAGCAGCAGCAGCAGCAGCGGCGGCAGCGGCAGCAAACGCGGGCGCTGCAGCGAAGCTGCAGCGGGAGAAGCAGCCACTGCAGCAGCAGCAGCAGCAGCAGCAGCAGGCTGCAACGGCGGGCAGCACCAGCAGCAAGGGGCAGCAGCAGCAAGGGGACAGGGGGTGGAAGGGGAGCTGCAGCAGCTACTTGAAGTCCAAATACCTTTGGCGGCGCTGCTGCAGCAGCAGCAGCAGGAGTCACCCAGCAGCAAAAAAGGCCGAGACAACAGCAGCAGCAGCAGCAGCAGCAGGGGAAGTCCCCGGACCCGCAGCAGCAGCAAAAAGTAAAACTAAAAAGCCGGGGGTGAGAAGTCCAGAGAGACAAACTGCTGGAAAGCAGCGCAGCAATCCGCCCGAGAGGCAGCAGCAGCAGCAGCAGCAGCAGCAGCAGAGCCGCCGCGAGCTTCCTTCCGGTTTGCTGCAGCAACTGCTGAGCCTTAATGGAGGAAAAGACAAAGGAAAGAAAAGGGGAAAAGAAAAGGGCCTTTTGCTGCGACGGAAGATGGAGAATCGCCACAAAGACAGCAGCAGCAGCAGCAGCAGCAGCAGCAGCTGCGCAGCAAGGCACGC